TGCAGTGGGAGTAGAGACTGGCAGAGATGGCCAACCTAACCCTACCAGCAGGAGGAAATGAGGAATGAGGATATAAGTGGGTAATCCTATGAGCAGCAGAAGTCATGCAGAGAGGTTTTCTGTGGCTGCCTTGTGTGGGTTTTCTGCTCCCTAGTAATCCGGTTGAGTTCAAATTACACCACTTCCCTCTGGGGAAAGTGATAATCTCGGTGTGTTTCCTGCACTTATCTGATAGCTTTCTCAAGATTTAGGAATTCCGTGTCATGCAGGAGTTCAGCATCATGAACGTCTCTGTTCTTCCTCCAGAGGTTTTTGAAATGGGTGACAGCATGTAAACAGCCACATGCACAAACTAGGCAGAGTTTACTTGCAGAAATCCTACATTTTAGCAAAATAGGCTAAAAGTACACTCAAAATCTAGCATGTTTCATGAAAGCCTGGAATATTGCTTTGGAGAAAGATCTCATTCAACCCTAATTTTTGACTACTTATTTTTATATCGATTTAGTTTGTTGTTGTTTTTTTTTAATCTCAGCAGAACTTGGCAGTTTTGACATCACAGTTAATAGCTTTCCACAAACAGAGTGCACACACCAAAAGGAGCTGAAGTCAAGCTTATATCTCCAAGCAACTGGACTCAGAGTCAAAACATATGCTTTGTACAACTTGGTAGAATCATGCCAATGGAAGGGGAAAAGCTGTGGTCATATGTCAGTGAAGTTTTCAAAGTCATTAAACAAACTGAAGAGATGTTTTCCAGGCTAAAAATTGCTTTTTCTTAAGGAAAAAAAAAGAAAAGCAACCAATTTGCATTTAGGCTAAGAGTGCAAGGAAGTTGAACTTGTACAGGACAAGTAGCAGAGAAGTTGTCAGCTCCTATGTTTCAGGCAGGATCACTAGTGGATTTTAGGCATTTCTGTCTTATTTAATCACCGTTAACTGCAGCCTGGAATGCTGACACAACATGTAGTGAAAGCAAAGAGTGTAAATTGGGCATGATAGAGGTTTCTTGGTTCAGGAAGGAAGTAACATAACACTGAACACAGCTCAAGTTGCACTGTGAGAACAGAATGAATGAGCAAACCAGGTCTCTGTCACAAGACAACAGTGAACAAAAAAAAAATTAAAAAAAAATACAGAATTAGAAAAAGGTTTAGAAGAAAAACAGTAATGAAAATTTTCATTTTACTTTGCTTCCTAAGCTGATCTTTTGGAATACAGGAAGAATGGACATAGCTTTAAAAGCATGTTATGCTTTAATTAAATAAGTAATTTAAACAATTACACATATTGATTTTGGTGAGAAAAATCTTATGCTTAAGTGACAAAATCTTTTTTCCAAAAGTCTTTGGGAACCCAACTCTAGCGAGGTCTCAGGGACACCTGCATTCACAACTTCAGAGAGGGATCTTCAAACAGCCTGCTGTTTTGCTGAGAGCCCAACACACCCACATGAGTAAGAGCTCAGGACGTAGTTCCTACTGAGAAATCAGGTGCCTAAACCCTGATGGCTTAAGGCTCCTGCTGCATATTTTAACACAGAAACGTTTTCTGAAGCTCTGTCCACAGGTTTATGACATGATTTCTTGCTGAGGCTTCAGCAAAATTATTGTCAAAAATTATTATCAAAAAAACCCACCCACATACCATTATCTATCTTGTGCCTCCCAGCATTCCCCATACAGAGAGGGAAAATGCCTTTGCATGAGCCCTACTAATGATCAGCTGCTGTTATTCTGTGTCCCAGTAGACCAGGATTTCTCCCAGCCCACCACTTCTCCTAGCCCAGCTTGCCTTAGGAAGTTTTTCCCCATCCTTATGCCTGGCAGCCCTGAGGCTGCTGCCTGACATGGATCTTGCAGAGGACTTGCTGGGGGCTGGTGGGAACAGTCTCTCCTGTGTTGCCTTTAGTTAGACGAGCACATGTGTGTGCCACACCATGAAGTGAGGACAATCATGATTACTGATCAAGAATGCAGACCATGTTGAATACCCAATATCAAACCCTACAGGTCACAGGTTGTCCAGAGATACTGTGGAGCTTCCATCCTTGGAGGTATTCAAAACCTGACTGCACAGTCCTGGACAACCTGCTCTAGGTCACCTAGAGCAAGGACGGTGGGTAGGATGGTCTCTAAAGGTCCATACTACCTCAGCTGTTCTGCAATTCTGTGAAATTAGGTTACTGCAGGGTACAGCTTGCAGCCTTGAGCCTTCTCCTCAGAAAAAGTCTTTGGAATCTTATTGTCCACAGAGATTCTATAATTAACTCTGTTTTAAAAATTAGTCTCACCTTAGCTGGAACCAAAGGAGCTACAGAAAAAAAATACTTTTCATTGTACACAGCTAAACACTTGCCGCCCTACCACATAATTTATCTCTGAAGCCAGGGAAAAACTCCTCAGAATGAGCAGAACCAGCTCCTTTGCAAGATGCCAACTCAAAATTATCCTGAATTAAAATCATGAAGCAGTACTGACCCAATTTATAAATCATTCTTTAGTCTCATCCATTCTTTTTAGACAAAAAAAATACTGTTTAGCTGCTCTGAGACTGACAGCCTTGCTCAGATACTCAGCACCATATGAAGAATACTCCCATGAAAGCTGCCATCAAAGTCTGTAGTATATTTCTTAGAGCTGTTATAGACTCCGCATTGTTTGTTGTATCTAGCTGCACTACACTACAAAAAAAGCCGCTCCTTTTTGTTACATGCTACCTCATTTTACCTTCATAAAGAAATGTTTAGGTTTCTATCCTTTTGGATCTGGACTGAATAATGTCACTTTTTGTTTATGAACATGTATTTTGAATTTCAACGATAGAACACAAGGACAGACCCCGTGAACAGCTCTATTATACTTAAGAAATCAAGTTTCTATTCATAAAGGGCTGAGTAGCTCCTGTTAGATGGTTTCCCATACAAAAAACACTGAGTACCTCCGAATGAGTCTGACTATATCAAAACACTAAAACATGAATAGGATTTCTTCTCAAAGGAAAGACTGAATAAAGTACAACTATACTAATATATCTTCTAATACAGCTATTTACAATCTAAGAAGTACATTTACCTTGGCTTAGAATCACTCTGATTTCCACTACAATGTTTTTGTCATATATGTCACCTTATTATGCAGAGGAAGGGCTTCTATCAACAGCATAAAGGACATGTTTACACACTAATTCTCCTGAATAGTATATGATATTTGCATGAAATAAAATACTTTCCACTTTCAGCTTTAGAACATCTTAAATTTGTGTTCATATTTTTAATTGTCTGCAGCTACATCTAAAAAATACTTACAGGAACAGAAGTGATTTCAGTAATCTTTCATAACAGTTTTTAAAGAGCTATTCAGGGAAAGAGGACTTAATTCCCTGCTTCAGTGACAAAACCAGTCTCTGGAGTGGCAAGTCTTAACCAAAACAATGGAAAATAAAAGGGAGAAAATATTTCACTCTGTATAAAGGCCACACACAACTTTACCAAATTGTGCATCAGGTAACAGAGTCTTAGTAGAAATTTTCAGATAAAAATTTTGCAGGGACACAAGCACATATTCTGGACAATACATATGGCTGCCTCTTTTCTTAAGGAGAATTTTATCATATGGAAGAGATGTGTAAAATATTACAGTGACCTATTACTGCTTAAAATCCTTTCTGCTTAGTTTCAAGTGTAAGACAGAATGCAGACTAATGCAAAGACTGGCTCAGCAGTTGGTTCCTGAGGATGAAGAAGGTGAAACATAGGCATGCCTAATTCAGCTCTGTGCTGCCCAAGGGTCTTCCTATGCCCAAAAAGCGGAAATCAATATCCAGGGCTGGCAGGAACACAGATGGATTCTCCTGGATTTTTAAAAATTGAGGCTTATTAACCCATTCACTTACTAAAAACTGATAGAGCACTTATGAATGAAGAGGTTCCTACTTAGTTTTAAGTGGAAATGAAGAATGGATAGTTTGTTGCAAAGTGAATATAAACCCAGAGGAAGGAACAGATGTGGTTTTCATCCGCAGCCTAAAGTTTAAAAGGCAAAGCTTAGTCATCTGGTGATGCCACAATTTTATTTATCTTTTTATTTATTTATTTTTGAAGTTTCTGCATAAACTATTTAAGTCTAGGAAAATTTTGGGCTTAAAAAGTTATTGTTGTTGTTGATTTGAAAGATCTGAAACTCTTAAGCAGAGTGTCTCTGTGCTTCAACAGCAAAGCCACTTAGAAAGAGCAGTATTTCTGCTAATGGAAGCACTGTTCAAAGGAAGAACACCTGTACCTCCATAGCCAGCATTTGCCATAAGGGAAGAGACATTGACTTCTGGCTTGTGGTGTGTAAATGTTAGATTACATTTAGCAGAAGAAAGTCAAAAGTGCTTTCTATGTTGCTTTTTTAGTTAATGGCATCGGCTCTATTATGACAGAGGCTGTTTGTTCCTTCTACTCTAAAATACACATTTTGGTCACAAAACCAATTCTGCTATGCTACTCACAGTGGGAGCATCCCATAGTGAATATCTGTGTCCACCTGTTTCACTTAATTTCTGGACATTAGTGAGAGTTACCCTCATTTATGAAAAATTCATAGAATAATTTATTTGTGATGAGGGTTTATGAGCCACAGAGTGGCTGTGGTCAGTTACAGACAGCTAGGAGGGGTGTTATTACCTGCTGTTTACAAGTTTGCCTGTGACCACTAAAACCTTGCTATGCCCCACAGAGATTTTCCTCAATGCCCCTGAGATTACCCATTACCTTGCAGTGCAGTTTTTATCCTGTGTTTCCCCTCCTTAGATGCAAAGGCAGAGCAGGACTGTAGGACTAGTTTTTGACTGTGGGAGACCTTATCTTAGGCCCTTTAATTGCCACAGATTTCTTGTGCATTCTCACAAAAATCACATAAGGTTAGCCCTACAACGGGTTCCCAGCCCTTGGCATCTGGAAATAGATTTCGTGTGCCCCATGAGACCCAGGGATTTTGATGACAGAGAACAGGAACAAGTAACACTAATGAGCAAACCTGTCTCTGGATTTCTGCTGCCTTACACAGCTTGAGTCCCCACAGCCCAGAGTTTCAGACCTGTATCTTGTCCCAGAAGATACATCTTCCTGGGTAGGAGCTGGCAATTTGCTCTCCTAAATAACAGTGCACGACATTAAGTCAGGGAGTGGGATGCCCTTGAGAAGGTTCAAATCCTCAGTGTCTAGCCTTCAGGCTCTGTAGAATTGCATCTTGCCTTCACTGTCCCTGAGGGGCTCAGCCAGCAACTCAAAGGGTCAGCAAGACCAAGATCATGAAAGCAGGAGCATGACTCCATAGCCAGGTAAGTGCATTCACTCAAGATCAAAGTAGGAGAGAGGCTGCTCTGACCTCCAATTCCTACCAACACCACTCCTGATGAAAAATGGATATGCACTTCAAGGCCAAGGGCCATAGCACAGGGCTTTCTCTGTGGAGGGGCTGCCTCACCAGGCTGCAAAGCAGGAGCTTATTTTCTCTCTGACTGACCCCACTACCCTGTTAGTCCGTTCTGAACTGTGGCAGAGCCTCAGTGCAGATACGGAGAGAATGTCTGACACCTTGGTTTCACTGAGGCATTGCTTAGTGGCTTACTCTGTCTTCTTTCTAGGTGCTCTTTTGTACCTGAGCTTGAATGTTCTTGTGCCTCAGCTCTCCCTCTCAGGTTGCAAAAATAAGCATGTTAAGGTTACGAGCTGTACCATGGGAATCACAAAAATAGCAGATTAGTTACAACATATCCCCTCAGCCCAGAAAGCAGCTGTCAGTGCACTTCAGCTGGGTGCATAAGCATCAGGTCAAAATACTTTTAAAAAGCAAAATAGCCGGCTCTAACAAGAACTTGGAAAAATTACTGCAACACAGACCAAAATTTTCACAGAAAGGCATATTTGCAATATCAAGATGTTTAACAAACTCAGGCTTCGCAAAGTACAATAAAACAGAGCCATCAGAATGCATTATTTGCTTTAGCACATTCTAATTTTTCAATTCATAATGATATTTTCAGTGCTTATTATTTTTTATATGAAGAGTGTTGATCCAAACCAAAACCTGCTTTGAACAAAACATTTAGGTTTGGTTCTTTGATAATTTCATTTCATATCAACCCAAGATGAGTGTAAAGATGGCTTTTAGCTGTCTGAAACAAGGTCAAATGACTTTAAACTTTGGGTTTGATTGTCCACTATGTGAAATAGGCAATTCTATCTAGTCTTAATGTGTTCTCCTAATATTAGACTATGCTGAAACATTCAGACAGTGGCAGGCTTGAGATGCATTTTGCATGAAGTAAACACTGCTTATTACACACTACTCAATGTGAAGTAGCATTTTCATGCATGGATTTTACAGCCCCAGGTGCAGTCATCATCATGACTTGTGAATGTGGGTTCTTTTCAGAATTTCCTAAGGCACTATCAGCAAGCAATTCCAAAAGTGGTTTCACTCATAAGTGGCGAGATGCCACAATTGCTTCAGAGGAGAGCATAGCCAATCTACAATTCATCCACCTAAAAATTAAGGTGCTTTCCAAGACTTTTAAATAGCGGTAGTCTGCATTTCAGTCTTTTCTTACTAACTCACAGATTATTTATTAAACTGTGAAGAAAATACTTGCCAACAGAAGTTCCCTGGCAAGTAATGTAATGTAGGCTAGGCAAAAAACATACACTGCATCCCTCCCTGCTTCTGAACTTCTGTGGCCCAGGTGAGACCCAGGCTAGTGTCACACTGGGTTTCTTGTTCCTCACCTGGTTCCAATGTCACATAGGCCATCCAGAGCCATAAACAGCACTTGTCCCACATCATTATTTATAGCTTTCAAAGCAGACATGCTTTCACTAGGTAACCCAGAGACATCTCAACACTTCAACATCTCAACGGTCTGTTTCAGACAATAACAAAAATCCACTAGCACAATACAGACCAGAAGCAGTGGGATTCTATAGTTTTCTGCAAGGCTACATCTGTCTTGGTACTCACACAGCTCCAGTCTCCTTAGGCTTCCACTGCATCACATCATTCAGTCTACTGAAATTCAATAGCAGTCTGACTATAAGTGAATTGAGAACATTTAATTGAACAGTCCAGAAAGGCAAACCAGTATGGACAGCCTAGTGCCACAGGACTACTCAGCTAAATTAACTTCAAAAGAAAACAGGAAGAACTGCTAAAATAATGCTCTTGAATGCATGTTGAATTCAATACCTCTCCATACTAATTTGACTTGAAGTTTCTACTCTGCTCTTGTGAGACCTCACCTGGAGTATTGTGCACAGTTCTGGTGTTCTCAACATAAAAAGGACATGTAACTGTTGGAACAAGCCCAGAGAAGGGCCACAAGGATGATCAGGGGACTGGAGCACCTCCTGTATGAAGATAGTCTGAGGAAGTTGGGGCTGTTCAGCCTGGAGAAGAAAAGGCTGCGTGGAGACCTCATAGCAGCCTTCCAGTATCTGAAGGGGGCCTACAAGGATGCTGGGGAGGGACTCTGCATTAGGGACTGTAGTGATAGGACGAAGGGTAATGGGCTCAAACTTAAAAAAGGGAAGTTTAGATTGGATATAAGGAGGAAGTTCTTTACTGTGAGGGTGGTGAAGCACTGGAATGGGCTGCCCAGGGAAGCTGTGAATGCTCCATCCCTGGTGGTATTCAAGGCCAGGTTGGACTGAGCCTTGGATAACATGGTTTAGTGTGAGATGTCCCTGCCCATGGCAGGGGGGTTGGAACTAGATGATTTTAAGGTCCTTTCCAACCCTAACTATTCTATGATTCTATGATTTCAGAACTTTGGCCTATAAGTTAATAATGGCAGGCTGACAGTAACCAGGTCCTGATTATTTCTGTGTTCAGCTATGCCGTTAGTTCACAGAAGTGTTAAATATAAGCTCTCTGCCACTTAGGGAAAAGATGTGCATACTCACTCCCTGGTGTATACTGGTTAAACAGATTTGAGAGGAATTACAATCATGATTTTTTCCCTTTCTATACCACCATTTCACCATCTGGCAAAGAGCCTGATACGCCAAGTTCAGCATCTGCACCCCCTTTCCCTTCTTGGAAAGGATGTCTTTCTTCCCATGCACTCATTTTCTTACCACCGAGTAATCCTATAAACAGGGATTTTGGCATTAGCCTGTTTACTTCTTTCTTACTCAACACTGCACTGGAAGGATTAGTGTGAATTTAAAGCACAAGTACAAAGTGACAAAATGGGTGTCCGGTTTTCAGGTTTGTAGCTCAGGCTCCTCACAGACAATGCAGTCCCTTGGGTGGTTTGTTTTCTTTTTCTTTTTTTTTTTCCTTTTTTTTTTTTCTTCATTTACAGGCAGCACAAGAATTTTAAGAATATATAGAATGTCAGAATTGGTACCCCTAATCCTTCCCATACAAGGGAAATGGTGTTTCTGCAGCTTCCTGTCCTCCTCCACCTGGATTAGCCATGGACCGACAAAAGCAGTGGATTTTCATTAAGGTTAGATGCCTGAAACAGGGCTGGGTGACATACAAGACAGGCCAGGTGAGCTTAATGTTTTGTCTATAGATGCCTTGCCAGTGATACCAGCGTATCTTCAAAGGCACCATGTCACTCAGCTGTCCCTCAAAGGGCTTTGCGCTCTGAAGCTGTGTGAGTAGTTTTATCTTAAAATAAGCTCATATTGACAAAGACACTACACGTTTCACAGCAGACTCATGAACCCCTCTCCTCCATTAAGAGGGTATGTGAGAATTTCATTCCCACATAGACCTTTTCAAGGAAGTGCCCAGCTCAGGCATGACCCTTGGAAGCCTTGCTGTGTCCAGGCTCTAGTCACTTTTCACTGCAGAAGCCCATAATCACAGTTAGAAATCGTTTTTCCCTGCTGCATCTTGTGCTTAGTATGAAGTGGATAACATCGGCTGATGTAGCAGCAAATGCCACTTAGATCCACCATGATCAACAATATCCAGTTATGAATTTCCATTTCTTTTCTAACTTACATGGAGCTGACCACCTCCTGCATTCCCGTATAAATATTTGGTGTTACCAAGTCTTTCTTTTAGCAAGTGCCTTTGTGCAACTGACACCCACCTTGCAGCTATTCAGCAGTTTCTTCATAAAGAGGACAGAGCACAAGGGTTTGATCCAACAAGGTGAATGTATGCACCATTATTTCCAGGGCCTTAGAGTAGCTGCGCTGCCTGAGAGGGATAACCCCTAAATCTGTTCTGGAGTCAGAGAAATTAAACCGTCTTATGACTGAGAGTCACGGCAACTCACTGGCATGTCTGCAAGTTAGTTTCAAAACAGAAAACATTTTTCATGCCCGGTACAGACTCTAGATGAGTTCAGAAACAGAGGGCATTGCTGATGAACTGTTTTGAGGAATTCAGAGGTGGCTCTGGAAGTACCAGACTAGCAGAGGGCTTGCTGTACGCCTTGTATTTTGGCAACTGGATGCAGCCTTCTTTGGTGACACCAAACAGAAAAGCCCCCAGCTTGGTTATTGTAAATCAACATCCCGGAAGCACCGCTACATGAAGACATCACAGAACTGGAATTATGAGGGCACTTCAGAAATTAATTTTACATAATGCAGCATTTTAAGTTCTTTTTTTTTAATGTCTGTAACATGTTCCAGTGATTCCATTCCTTTTGCATATGACAACCAGTTTCAGGACAATTATACCAAAGTTTAACTTAGCCAGCCTTATCTCATTTGGATATATGGTTGTTCTACCTTAACTATCATGATGAAAAAAGAATTAGACTTTTAAAACGATCTTTAATAAGAACACAATTTTTTCCAACGAAAAACAAAAATAAAATGTAAAATCAGTTGCCCAGTAAAATAATTTTTAGAATACAGAGGCAGGAAAAGAGAAAGTCATGTTTTACATACAGAATTAAATACATAGAAAATCTACATCCATATATATATATATATTTGTGTGTGTATTTGCACAAGTTGAACAGTTTGAAAATAGTGATTACTTGAAAAGATAAAACAACACCAAAGAAAAACTGCACCAAAAATAAAAGTATTTTCTCCAACTATACCCGTTAAAATCCAGTAATTAATAACAGCATTAGCAAATTATTAATAAGTTGCACTGTCTATAATCTGAATGAAATATCAGTAGGTTTTTCCTTATTTCTCAAAGAATTTATATGAAGATGCTGAAACAGTGTCTGATGTTAAGCTTTTGTCATTTTACCAACCGTGTGTGAGTGAAGTATTCTGGTCAGAAGTAGAACTAAAGTGCAGTTGTCCAGCTGCATCAATATGGGATATTTTGGGATGTACTATTCTTGTTTTCCAATTGTCATAATTGACCAGAAGCCAGAATTTTACAGGTTTTTAGGCATTAGTCAACTGGAAGTCATGGAGTTTAGGAACCTATATCAGTAAAATATGGCAGTGAGAGAAAGGGCATGCAAACATACCTTTTGAAATCTGGGACTAATTGATTTCTAAGATCTCTCCACACAGTGTCTTCCAAATGCAGAGAACAACTGCACCATCAGCACACTGGGATCTATGCCCAGCAACCTACCTGTGCAATGGGTCAGCCTCTTTGCAACGACATCTAAGAAAGTGCTGGGAAGATACAAGTCTTGCCTATGTCATACCGGTCTTTGAATGTGCTTCACAAGCTGTCTTCTGTTGGGGCATATAAAGGATTTGTGATGAATGCAGACCAAACCTACATTTGCATTTAGACACGTAGGACTGTCCTTGCTCAAGCCATAGTCACTTAGGTCAGCTTATTTGCACATGTATAGGGTCAGTGCGTGCAAATAAATAAGGCATTGAAAACACTATTGTAAAAGCTGGAGGGTAAATGCAGTTGCGGCTAAACCTCTCAGCTGTCGCACAGGATGTTTGGTTGCACTCCTTACTGTAGATTGAGCTGTCTGATTCTGGATGAGTGGCTTACATTTGTTATGCTTCTACCTATAAAGCAGAAGTAACAACCACAGTCCTTGATCTCATCAACTTCAGTCATGATTTTTGCAGAGGCAGGAGCAACCTTGTGCTCAGTATTTGAATACACACTTGACTTTTTCCAAATGGAACAGGCAGATTTAAATAGGCAAGTCTGGAGGGTTGAGGGGTAAGGAGGGGAGTCATCTCTGTTTGTATGGAGTACAACAAATGATCCAAGACACACCTCACACAGTAGGGAAAAAATTTATCTTCACTTAACTGTCACTTTCACACTTGGATCTATCCCTAGTCTTCAGGTTCACTATATATAAGCAGTAAATCAGTGATAGTATGAACCGGAAAGATTTATACCTTCAGTGGCAGAAGCCAAAGACAGTTTGTGAAACAGCTTTCCGACAAACTACCTGTTGCAGTTTGTCCTCTAAGAGTGTGCGTTTGAGGCATATTTGTTTGGAGGGATTTTAAGCTGTAAAGATGTATGAATACTAGCCACCCGCTTAACCTCAGCTGTCAGAGACAGGTTACCAGGCAAGATGGACCTTGGTCTCTGACCCACTAGGGCTGGTCATACTTGCAGCTACATTGAAAAGAACTGAGACGTGAAACAAATTCTGTAGGTCACATGGCACAGTGCATTTTAGTCAGAACAGAAAAAAGGAAGAAATAAAACGTATCTGATGGCAATGTTTGAAGGAGCAGGGAGAAAGGAAAGAGCCAAGGACAGGAAAGGGGCCAGCGAAAAGCCATTGCTTCCTTCAGGATGTACAGCAATGCTCACTGTGGGGGCAGGAACCAAATTCTTATTTTTATAATCAGCGTAATCCACCAGAAATAATATATAATTCCTTGTAACTGAACGGCTGTCTCACAGATGGATGGTGTAATGTGTCCCCTGCTTCCCTCTCTCTCCCCATCCTTTCTTTCCCTCACTGGAAGTTCCTGTAATTGTCACTTTGTAATGTATATTCCAGCACATGGACATGCAGAATGAACCCTGCGTGCTCATTTTGCACTATAAATGATGTGTACTGCCTTGTGTCACAAACAGTAAATCCTTTATACCAAAAGTCTGCTCATTTTCACACCATTCACTTGTTCAGTAACAGTTGTCCAGATTTTTTAATTCAGCTCCTTACACTAATCCTGCAACTGCTGGTCTTAGACAGGTGCAGGGATCAAACAGGCTCAATAAACTGAAACATCTGGCCTGGAAATGATAATAGGCCCTTTTACTCTGCAAAGCAGAGGAGGAATGCAGTTTTCAAATGTTAAATCATGCAATTAGCCCTTGTAATTTTTTTTTTTTTTTTTTTAATGAAACAATAGTGTTTTCTATTCAGAGTTTCATTCATTGCTTAGGTCCCTGTTCTCCTCTGTGGTGCAGGAGATGGCAGGAGAAAGAGGTAAAAATCACCTACTAAAAGAAAACCCTGTCCCCCCTCCTTCAGCATAGTAGAACTCAGTCATGTCCAGAGACTAAGCCATGCATTAAACCAAAAGCCAATTCTGAATAAAAGATTGGGAGAGCCTGTGCCCCAGAAAATGGAAGAAGTCCCTGTACAAGCCCAGTTTTGTGAAGGTGAGCCATCTCCAGCCATGTGAAGGCTGGTAGCAGGACAGAGCTAGTTATAGACCATCACCCCGCTACCTGAATGACACCAGGAGATACTTGTCCTCACATCCCCCCCAGTGCTTAGACTGCTGCCAGAGCTAGACAAAACATTGCAAACTCTCAAAGTGCTTTCATAAGTATTTCTGGTCAAGGCTGCCCAGGTTTGGAACATCTCTCATCACACTTGTGCCTAGGTTTGCTTAGGCTGAGCCTAGTGTTGGGAGGCTCATCATGGTCTCCTCCAGGCATTACTCCCAGCTACCATCTCTTACCTTGGCCTGTACAAGCAGTCAGTGTCCCTCAGACCAAAATCAAGACTTTCTGCAGAAAAGGAGAGCTGTCAGAAGCTTTTATGACTAACGGGATGTTGTCTTCCAGCAGTCCAAGTATGTGGCCAAGTAGCAGGGTCAGGTATGTTCCTATGTCTGTATTAGAAAATAAGTTTCCATCTCTTGTTCAAAAAGTTCTCCATCTTCCTGATGAAAATGCTTTGTATTAACTGAATAAAATCCTTTTTAAAAAGGTTTCAAACAGTCCTTGCCTTGACTATTGACAGTCATAAAATCTCATGTGAAGAGTTAGTATTTTTATCCAACATCATTGCCAAACTACAGCATTGGTAACTGCACTCACCAAGTTTTCCTCTCACTTGGAGCTGAACATGGCATGCTTCTCTTGGGTAAACAGGAATGTTCATCTTGGGCCAGAGAAACCTGGAAACAAGTCCTGGGTCCCACTCCAACCTTTGCCTCAAGTTTCCTGTGAGGTCTCAATACTGGACCTTTGGAAGTGCCATGAGCCTGGTTACGCTTTGCTTAGCACATCTGGGGCCAGGCTTCCAAAGGTATGTTCAGTTTTTCTTACTGACAATCCAGCCTTAGAAACCTCTTTTGACAGCCTGCCTTCAGCTGTGAATGGGCTTCTCTTGAAAATACTGTGTTTAGGATCTCACGGCTTTTGCATTCAGAAGAACTGGGATCGTAAAGTAATGCAGTATAACAGAGTGTCACAGTAACACAGTGTAATAGTAACACAGGCACCAATATATAAAGGACCTATGTCATGAAAAAACCCATTCCTCCTTGTCTGCACAGGAACACATGTTGCTGTGTTCTTGCACTGTTGGATGTGGAGGTGAAGCCTTTGGGTCAGAGACCGGATGCCTCACATAGGGCCAGGCCATGGTCTGCATTTCGCTGCATGACTTTGCTTAGAAGTCATGAACCTTCAGCTTCAAAACACCCAACACTACTGTAGTGCTGATGAGCATATGGGTTTTCCTCACTGTTTATTGACAGTCTCTGGCAGCTGCAGCAGGTCTGGGTTCTCATGCTGGAGCTGCTAAAAGGGTCTCATGAGCCTGGCAAAGAAGGACTCAGGGTAACTCCTTAGCTTTCCTGAGTTCTTACATAAGGGTTTCTTTAGAGGCACAAAACTATGACAGTAGGGATCTCTACCTACCTGTTTGTTCACACGTGTTAATGGCATCTGTTTGATGTAAATGGGAGAGAGAAACTAACTTTAGCATGAGCTAAGTCAGTACTAGCCTTGAGAAGTGGTGTCCCTAGGTCACAGTCAGGCTTAAAGCAGACACAGCAAGATTTTAGCTCAGACCAGGGCCCTTAAATGCTGAGTTCTCCTTGTCAGATGGACCTTGAACCAGACAGTGAGGTTCACTGGGGAGAAAGAGGTGCTGCGCAGATCACAGAGTCTCTGTGTGCTCCCAAGGCCATCGTCCTCACCTTGCTGCAATGGCTAGATCAGACTCAGAACCAGCTACTGAATTCAGTAGCTAGGGAGCTTTGGTTGAACCCTAAAGGGCAGGATTACCACAGGCATGTCTCTTTCCAGACTGTCAGTAGAAGAGGGCATGCAGACATCAACCAACTTAATCCTGTACTCCTTCCTCTAGGAGTCAACGGATGTTGTATCAAAAGTTGTGGCCTTAGAAAAGATGCTGGAAAGATATTTCTTTGCACACTGTAGATGGCATATACCTGTGCTATATCTGTTACTCCTGGAAGTCAAGAAAATCCTTCTATTCCTTGAAGGAAATATGCAATTAAGTGCAAAATTCTGTATTGGTACACACGCAGGAGATATCTCAAAACATATACTTGCTGATTAGAATTTGAAGTTTCTCAAGTTTCGTTCATGCACTTGTAACGATTTGTTTCAGAGGCATACAGAAGAAGTCAGAATAGTATATAGCTTTCATTTTCTGATTTGATGGTGTTTCGGCTTCCCAGGTGAGCCAAAAATTTTTAAACTAGTAACAAAGCAACCAGGTCGTTTACTTTTACAGCTAGGGAGCAATTATACTGCTCAACACATTCTTTGTTGGTCTCTGAGATCACTCTGAAGTCATATGACTACTTCAAATACATTCAGTGTTCAAAATCAATGGCCTATGACCAAACTTAAATTCTTTATAAAGGAATTTTATACATCAGGGATGTTAACACTGGAGATAATGGCAAAGAAAAGTACAGTGCAACAGTACAGAAGAAATCTGTGCAAAAGCCAGGAAAATACTGATTTCAGTCACAGACAAGAAAGTAGATGCTCAGCTCCTCTGTCTGATTATTTGGAAGTCAGAGGGTCAAGAAAATTTATCAAATCTGTAATAAAATGCGGCAAGCATTCTGAAGGAAGGAAGAGAGGAGTAGTCCATGGAAAAACATCTTTCCTTACCAGAAAACAGAAACCAGTTCTTGATTCATTAACACACAGCTCTCACCAGCACTAGCCCATAATTCTGTCACTTGCCACATAGATGTGTCAAGTATTACTATGCACTAAAAAATTATTTGATCTCAGTTGACTTGTTTGTGGGTGCAAAACCCCACCCAATTTTCAAGGTCAAGGCCTTATTTATTGTTAACTACTAAGTTTAGGTGTAAAATGAAATCAAGCCAGAGATGCTTTTTGTCATTGTAGAAAAAAGGCAGTTGATTTTGTGTACATTTCATTAATTCAGTATTTCCTTTGACACATTAGATACTCTGGTTTATTTAGTCCTATCATCATGCCCTTACAAGTCTTCGGTTCAAATGCTCACTTCTAGTACAGTAAATCCATCCTATATGTCTGTTATAAATAGGGTAGTGCACATACAGCAAGTGGAGTCCCAACTACACACCCTTGTATGTTCACTTCAAACGGCACACATATTCTCATGCTATATTTAGTGCTACATCCACAGTAACATATCATCATGTCATAATATACAAAAAAGGTTTCATAAAAGCAAACATTGAGGCAGAGAAATGGGTTTCTTCAGCCTGTGTTTAAGTCTCCCAAGCCACAAAGTCCTCTTGAAAGCTTTATTTAGCTTAATTCCATATACATTCACTTTTAAAATCCTATTTCATGAGACTTTCAAGCAAATTCAGACAATAATTCTTTAATGGTGTTGAAGGCCAGGTTGGAAAGAGCGTTGGGTGACATGGTTTAGTGTGAGGTGTCTCTGCCCATGGCAGGGGGTTTGGAACTAGATGATCTTAAGGTCCTTTCCAACCCTAACTATTCTATGATTCTAGGATTCTATGAACTTAGCAGATATATTCTACAACATATTTTTAAGCACTCACTTTACCAAGTTGTACCCAGGTTTTCAAAACAGTCCAATTTCTTTAGGAATACATGTATGAATAGACAAGTACTCAAAAACATTTGGAAAATCAGTCTGTAAGCCATGAGAAAACCATGGAAACACTTTCAAAGACCTGGCTGCAATGACAACTATGGGTCACATGGAGATGTGCTCTCAAGTTTTTATTGAAAATGAATCTGTCTCCTTGGGCAACTTCACCCATAGAACAATGAAGCTTCGAATCTGTTCATAGCTTTACTTTCTTTTTTATCTTTTTTCTCTTTTTTTTTCTATTTCTTCCCACTCTGTCTTAGCTTGTAGAATCTAGTTTGTGATAAACAAGTTTGTAAAAAAATGACATTGATGACATTTCTCCAGACAGTGCTTCTACATTTGAACCTAGCAAAATAAATGAGCTTATCATATAATATTTACCAATGCGTTTTGCCTTTTGTTTTGAACTTCAGAGTGTATGAATCGGCATACTGGCAACTTTCACGACTAGAAAAGACCTAGTAGTCACTTATTAGTACACCTATTATGTTGGCTGGCACAGCAGTCTACAGAGAGCACCACCTTATTTGTCATTTTTCTTTTTTATTTATTTTCTTTTATAGGTACCACAGACTAAAGGAGTCTTAAGAAAGGGTCTCAGTGAGGATAGTAACATGGAGTGCCTAACATGAATAACTTCTTGGGCAAAAGCACCTTGAAACTGAGCATATCATGGCAGTAGGGTGCAACTGGAGAAGAAAGTTGATATTTTGAGAGATTTTAAGACCTATCGAGTCAGAATAAAAAAGCCCAGGAAGGGCCCTGATTTTTAAGTGTTTAATGCAGGACAAAAGTGGGGAATTGGTGGACGCTGCTTAGGGAAGGATTGATTGGGGAACATGACAGCATGAGAAAATGGTCTTTGAGGCAACACTGTTGAGACTTGATGGTGTTTCGTTGAGATCATGGAAGATAATTTTGCAATAACAAAAACTGTATGGTGAACAGGAAGGGCTACTTTTTGGATAAATTAGACAGAAAATATCATCAGTTAAGGTACCCTTCTGGAGCACCTTAAACCAGATGAAGTTCAAACTGTTTTCTCCTCAGGTGTTTATGCTACAGTCCATGAAACCTCACAGTGAGGGTCTTTGGGGAACCAACCTAGCTGAAAACTAAGGCTTCCGAAAACATCAGGTTTGTCTTGAAGCAGCATGATTCACTGAGCTGCTTGACAAGGTTGCACCAAAGCACAAACAGCAGCATAAACAGAGGGAGTAAGAACATGGGACCAGAGTCAGAGTGGGCATGGTAGCCTCCAGGAGGCTTGAGGTAAGATGCCTCACATTTATTCCTCTTCCAAAAGCTGGAAAAAGTGTAAGACTGAGGACAGTCTTGACCACAGGATGATATGTTGGTACAATGTTGGGAAAAGGTGTAGAAAATAGAAGTGAAGACTCATGGTTTAGCTAGATAAAAGCTGAAATGGTGGCTAAATATCCATTAAGTGCTATAGGAGAGAGAAGATTTAAACTTGGGCAGGAGGAGACAGGTTACAAATCAAAAGGTAGATCTGTAAGTTATTGATGTTTTAAATCCTATTTAAAATAACTCGTCTCCAAACACTGCTGTTTGAGAGATCACTGCCTGAAAACAACAGTTAGAAAGATGTATCTCTGCTCCTACCTGCAGTTCCTTGTCTTTACAGACATGTTACCTTACCTCTTGTCCCATTACTAATGTTTTCTTGAAAGCCTATTGCAGAGAACCAGTTAAAAGCACCAAATTTCCTGTTATTATTGCTGTAATTTCTTGTCTTTGGTTATTGCAAGAAGATGGTTTTTAAAATGTTTCCAGCTGCTCCAAAAACAACTTAGACTGGGCTTAAACCCATTCCTTCTGGTAGTTAATTCCACTCAGAGACTTCATACAGTCATGCTTTTTCCTTAGCTACAAGTTTTATTAGGCACCATTAGTTTTGTTGTCTCAAAAGAAACCTTGCTCCAGCTGAGATGGTTTCTAAAATACTCAAAAGATTTTTCATGGAGACTGAGATGCGATTTTAAGTTAGTCTCAGAAGCAGAGGGAGCAAGTGGTTCTGTGGAACACGCACATACAGTGGTTCCACTAAGATACCCAGCTGCTGACTGCTGTGCAGATCACTACTTTGGAAAATATCTGAAGTAACTCTCAAAGTAACCCCCAAACCTAAAAACAGGTATGTCTTGTGAAAAATCTCTACTTCAGACTGAATTCAGCATGTTTAGTTAGGATATAATTAGCTTTCACTGGTGGCCTTCTTCACAGGCAGAAACTTGGGATGCATGCAGTTTGCATACAACTTGGGAAGGGCTGTGGTCTAAATTTCAAAACAAAAAATCATGCCCAATAGGAGTGCTGTAAGAATACTAATATTTTCACATTTTCCAGATATATCTGAGTGCATTTTACAGGCAACCATCTGCTGAACTATATCTGCTTCTTCCATAACTGTATGTTGTCAGACATCAATATCCTGGTTCACTGGCTACCCTTGAGCCTAAAAGACAGTCTCATTCATAACATGCTTTCAGAATACAGGAACATATTTGTTTATCAAAAATTGCCCTGAAAACATTGCTCGATATTTTTGAACATGTGAAATGCACTATAACCAATCTATAGCATGCTGTGGGATAAATTCTGAGACTGCTTCTTGTGCCCTCCGGTAAGTCTCCTCATGTATATGATTGGAAATCAAAAGTAAAAACTGAGCAGACTTCAGTAGCTGAAATAATGTTAAAAAGCTGGCCCCTTTATTTTAATGTCTGTAATCAATTTGTTTGGACAAAATATATTACAGGAATCAAAGATGTAAGCTTGTACTCAAATCTCACACATTAAACACAGGATTATTGGCCACAAGTTCTCATGTATTGCTAGGGAATAATGTGACTATACTTCAGGACCCCAGTGGGCTAGATTATGAACCAGCTGTGCTTGGCAAGCAAGGACCCAGAACAAGAAAAGTGGCCTCAGCCTTACCCTGCAGCTCTGGATAGCATACATAAAGGCATATGCGGAGAGGTGCTTCTGAAAGACACATGTTCATCTGTAGCCATTCATCACAGCCTCTCTCTTGTGCGTGTGGACATTATTCCCGGAGAGCAAAAAGCCTTTGCAGTCTGACAGCAGCTCTCTTAGCAAAGAGTTCTAGGAAGCAAAGGGCAGGTTTCAGCAGCCTGCACATAAGTGGTATGTGAATTTGTCATGTCCTAGGGATATCCAAGACTGCTACATGGGGCTAGCAGGTTAAACACAGGATCAAGGCTGGGGATGTCCCTGTGCCTAAATTACTTTTGATGCTCTTGTTCAGACCCCTGAGGATATAGAATTCTGACTCAGAACCTCATCATAGGTAACTCCTGTCAAAAAATACTTTCTCCTTTTGAAAATTCGAATTCAGACATTTTCTCACTTGCCTAGTATATTTTTTAAATCTGGATGGCAACGGACAGCTATCAGTGCCATATGGAGAGAGAGGCTGTAGTATCATCCTGGTGCAGACATCAGAAAATCCAGCCATGAGAAGGAAAGCTTTACAAAGCCAAATTTTATCAGCTTGTCACCTGAACTTTTCATGCCAAGACAGAAACTAAGAGAAAGGTTTTGTTTTGCACTTGCTAACACTACTCCATGAACCAAGATTCTCAATGTAAACTAATAATTGGGCTTCTTAAGTTTTCAGGCCTCCAAATTTCTCTCTGGATTTCTTCCTTGGCATGGACGCAAGAGCTTTTGCTCCTTGATCATGATAAAAATCACAAAGTTCAGAGGAATGCTTTAGGCTCTGTGACTTTAGAACCATAGGGACTGGCTGCTATGGCACTCAAGCTCAAAAGGACTATTTCAGCTGCCAACTGTCCAAGGCTGCCAAATGCTGGATGAAGAAAGTAGACATCATACATAACTTGCAGATATATGCACTTCAGGTACAGTCTCTGCCTTTTTCCGCTGGAGCTGCTGTAGGGAGCCAGCAGTGCCAGCTAGCTAGGGTTGTCTGCTTGTATGGTTGTCTCTTCTTGACTGGAGGCACACCTCTGGCCACTGCAATCTGTGTTAGGTTGTCTGTGGATACCTACAGCAATTTTAGTGAAGTCACTCCACCTCTATGCTTCAGTTGCCACATCCACATAACTCACAGCTTGGAGCTGCAAATGTGAGACATGAGTAATTAAAGACAGAAAGTGTTATAGACCTTCATACAGAAGGAGCTGAGGGAGTCCAACAGGACCATTATTATTGCACCTCATATGCTCTCTGAGGAGTAATGCAAACCTATTGCTGGAATTAATGCTCCCGCTCAAATTTGATAGTGCCCTTTATACAGGATTTTCATTTGTATTCACAGAAAACCATAAATAAGTGCTCAGGCTGGCCAATCTATTTCCTCTGTAACTGGCAGCATTCACAGCCACTTTATTGTATGAAATAATGTCTTGTTTTTTCCTCCCTTTATCTTGCTTGTGCCTGACCTTCCATTAAAAGTTGCTTGGAAACTGCTTAGAGAATAGTCCATGGTGCTTCTTATTGATATCTTCCTTTTGTGATTTCTTGGCTATTCTATCTTTTTGTATTCTTTTCCAGAAGCTTTTTAAGCTAGAAGAAGATGAAAAGAAACCACAGAATCAAAGCCTAATATTTTTCTTTTAAAATGAACAGGAAAACCACCTTCCTTGTATACATTGACATGTTAAAGAAGAAATGCTCTTCTAATAAATCCTTAGCAGGTCTTTAACGTGCATGTTATTATCAAGTGCTTTACACATTCTCTTTAGCACCTTGGTAATTAAAAACCAGGATTTATAAAGTAAATTGTGTCCCTAAGTACACCTTGCTATTGCTATTGTATAGAAATGATGGAAAAAGGGCACCACTATGACACCCATTGTACCAGAGAGGCTTTGGCAGGGTGGTTTGAGCCGTCTCCTAAAAGAAAGCCAGAGAAGAAGTGGTTGAGAGGAATAGCCACTGGACAGCAGTGACCATGGTGGACAGTGGGAATTTAAGCAGCATGCTGAGGGAAGGGATTTTTTCCTCCACTTGGATGCAAAAATGTCTCCATGCAGATATGAAGGTCTAAACAGCCTTTCTCCCATAAATGTTTTGTCTTTATTCAAACTGAACTTCATCAGCTGTAATGCAAATTGCATTTAGGACTTGTGACTGTCATGGGCAGTAACATGGTACTGGAAAGAAGACATAGTAAAGCCTGTGTCTGGATTTATTCAAACCCATGACTAAACTTCATTTTTTGGCTTAACAAGACTTCTGCCCCTGTTTCCAAACTTCCCTGTATAAATATTATAGGACGTCTACAAAGGAAAAGCCCAGTGAACATATGTAAGCTTTATAAATAAAGAGGAAGCACATATTCTTGAAGCTCTTTTACAGTTTTCTCTTTTCATATAACTATGGTGAGTATAATTTCAAGGTGTACTATTCAAAACTCTAGCATCTTAAATGTTATTTATCATGTTCATATTTCCTCGTTTCTGGTTTTAACCCATAAATCAAGTAATTTGCAAGGAGAAAGTGCAAAGTATGGCATATTTGTAGACAAGACTAATTTTTTCACATACTTGTACTTCTTGGAATCCCAGATGTTGCTTTCTTGAAGGTTCATGACCACTATACACTTTTTAATATGAATTAACATGTAGAAACAAGACAGCAAATTTTCCCAGGAAGCAGTCGTTCTGTGAGGGAGTCTGCAAATACCACTTTGATCTGTGTAAAACTGAAGACCCTAGATTTTTATTGTTTTGCTTCTTTATTCCCAAATTAA